CCCAGATGTGCAAAACTATCTCTTATTCATATATTCGGCCTTGTGCACAAGAAAAAGTAGTTAGAGTGCTTGTGGAATATAGGAACGGAGGATATGGTTTGTATTAGATATGATCGAATCTACCCACTTCAAGGTGAGAATCTACTCCTTGGAATCCTTTATTTAGTTGTGGTCTCTAGGTTGAGTTTTTTAGAGTGATCCAAATTAAGGTGGTAGCACCACATATTAGAGATGTAATGTCGCGAGAAAGTAGCAGAAGTAACCATTTTAATTGATGATGTCTCATGCTATGCAAAAAAAACTAATAGTTAACCAAAATCTACATAATATTTTGAGTAAATTGTATAATTTTAGTGGCGTTTTTAAAAAGACTTAAAAAGATGTTATTTTTAGCATTTCAAAAGTGATTTTTTTTTTTGAAAATTCTCTATTTTTATAGGTCAATTTTTGAGACATTTGTTCAAATCTTTACTATCCCATGTTGGAACACATTATCAGTTCAGTTAGAAAAACGAAGTTTTGTATTAAGTATGGTAAATATTATACTCCCTCTGTTTAAAATCGTATCTCGAGAGACAACATATTTGACCACGAGTTAATGATTTTTAATTTTACAAATATAAGAAAAATGTAACATAAAAATAAAACATTTGTTTCTTAAAAGTTAAAACAATCATGAATATTAGAAATGATAACATTTTTTTTAAAACAAAGATGATATATTTTAAAAAACTATAATCAAATTGATTAAAATACTTTGACAAAAATCCAAAATATACAGTATTCATTTTTGTTCCTCGAAGTTTTAGTCATATTATAAATTTATAATAGATCTCATATATTGAATAAAATAATTAATTTTTTTAGAATTTCAAAAATACCACTTTTTAAATATCATTTACTCGAATTATCATTTATGTTTGGGTTAACTATGTTATGTAATAGTTTGAGTTATGTGTTTTATTGGTAAAAGTGTAAAACAAATACATGTAGAAATGTTTTAAAATATAATTTATGCGGTCCTTACATAAGTGGTATAGATCCTAATCATAAGTACATACATAAGTACCGGCCCCTTTCTTTTCAGTACTCCACAAACTATAGACCAACTAATTAAAAGACCTGGCTAGCTAATACGGTATTTAAGACGACCACAATCATCAAAATGGGTCTAACTACACCTGATTACCTGAAGGTTTGGTTCCACCCCACCCCTACATCTGCGTACAATAATTCAATCTAGACTCCATAAAAGAGCAGCTAAAAGGATCGTCGCAACACTCACTTCTTGTTGGTTGATGGAATGTCAAAGCTAATGACTCACAAAGTTCCTATCTGTCAGTCATCGATTTTCCATGTTTCTGGTCTCCAGTGGTGAGTCATTCAATCTGGTTCCCCAACACAGTTCCACAA